AAATAAATAAATAAATGCCAATGTTGAATTCACATACCATGCGAATGTTTGTAATTACATAGAGACATAAGTAACTAATATGTATAACTAATTTTATCTTTATGACTATGGTTATCATTAGTGTAACAGTATCCTTTGGTGTAAATTTTGTTAGTTTGATACATTCGGTAGATTGTGTACTGACTCCAGGGTCTCACGAGGAAAGTAGCACCAGAGGTTTTGTCTAAGATCACTGACTGGTGAGTGACAAGGCAGTGAGAATGTATTTTAATTTCTATTTGAATGTCCTTTTTGATAGGTCACACTATTAACACTATGTTGAAACTTTTAAGCAGCATTTAAACATTTTTTTGTCAACACCAGAAATCACATCACTATCATAACATTAACTTGTTTGTGATTACAAAAATAACACTTAGGAAACAAAAAAAGTATAAAGAAGAAAATAAAACCAGGTTATTATTTCCCTGTAATGGAAATGACCATTTATATATTGTATTGCCTCTTAATCTTTTTTCTCATCATATGGCTATTTTCACTTACCATAAGATATGAGTATTTTTCCATCTCTATCTTACTACCTTTCTTAGTTAAGTTTTGGAATATATATAAAATAGCATCTTAAGAAGGATAAAATAACTTCTTACAGAAAGATGAAAATACTCCTAACTGTATATTTTGCAAGCCAAGGAGTTAACTTACAGAAGAAATGGGCATTAACAGATTCAGTTATTAAGGTCCTATTCATGGTTTGGAAGATAATAGTATGTACAGTGGTCAGTGTGTATGGTAGGGAGAGCACAGGCTTTGGATTCGGGCAGACCTAACTGAATACTGACAGTCACTTGACCTCTCTGACCTTTGTTTCCTGTCTTTAAAATGGATGAGTGATGCCTGTCAGTCAGAGCTGCTGCAGAATTAGGGACAACAAATATAGCTAAAGTGCCTGATGCGCTGTCTGGACATGTTAGGCATAGGATAAGCAATAGTCAGAGGAATCCTAAGACCTAAGACTTAAAAAATTGAAGCATACATTATGGAGAACATGTTATAGCCCATAATAAACTAAGATAACTCTGTTTAAAATATATTTATTTGTATAATTTACCATTTTGCCTTCCTCTTGCAAATATATTACTGCTAAAAGAGGAAGGGAACATGACAAAAAAGAGATTACCTTGAAGATGCTCTCTACCCTGGCAGGCCTGGGGCCAGGTTGCAGTGTTCACTTTATCTCGGGAAACCTTGACTGAAGGTCCACAGCGTGAGAGGCTTGGGTTAGGTTTTGAAGATTCACAGATGAGCTCCCAAGGGCCATTCACAATCGAGGGCGTGTAAAGTAGTCTTTGCTGCAAAAGATCTAATTCAGAAAAAGCAAAAACTTTTTCACCATACTTACAAAAAATCAGAATGAAAATAGCTTTAGTGAACCCTGTTGTGGATGGCAGGGGTCAAGGTTATAAATTCCAAAAGCTTAAGTTGTTTACTGAACATACAGATGTAAGTGGAGGAAAAAGTATTTCTTTTAGCCAATAAAAGTGTAATACCAGAGTGTGTCTGTGGAAAAGCAACACCGAGGCAACTTTCTAATCTTTATTTACGAATAAGCCTAGAAAGTTAGAAGAATCGAATCACGTCCGATCTAGGAAGAAGCAGACACATCCCCAATAGGATCCTAAATAGACAGTGCCAAGTGTTGTAATAGATGGTAAGTATGGTATTGAGCAAGTAGTTCTTATAAGGGAAACAGGACAGTATCTCTAAGGAAATGATACTTCAGTGGGTCTTGCAAGAAGAATAGAAGTTCACCATGAAGGATAACAGCTTTCCAGGCCCAGAAAGCTGTATCTGCAAGACACAGTATGTGTAGTGTGGTGCTATTCAGATAATGGAAAGGGACTGTGGGATTATGGAGGGCATGAGGAAGGGCCTGGGTGGAGAGTGAGCTTGGAGCCACGACACTAGTACTAAGTTTGAATTATTGAAAAGATGGTAACATTTTAATTTCCATGCCACAGAAATGTTGAAAATGTAATATGAGTAAAAGCAGAAAGAATAGCAGATCCAGTCAATATAAAATAATAGTTTTTAAAACACAGGAAAGACACTTAAATATGCCCTTGTTGAAATCAGACCATTCTTGGGAAAGAGAGCAGTGTTTTATTCCAGTCCAACTACTTGGCAAGTGCTTCAAAGGAGAGTTAACTCCACCATCCTATGTCAGAAATGTGTCGGCATAAGTAACCTGATGGACGAGACAGCTAAACCGTTTGCCATGACTTGTCCTGTAAAGTGTTAAAATCCATTATACCCTCAACCACTGATGCTCTCTAAGCTTCCATTATTCACCACTGATTTGGTTAAAGATAGTTTTGCAGAGAGAAGTTTATAGAAATGGCAAAAAAAAAAAAATACATATATATCTTTAAAAATTAGGACAGTGATAAGAGGCACTTTGTTAGGGGATCTGGCTGGAAATAAGTGAACAGAAGAGTTGAAAACATAACTTGCACTATTCTTATTACACTCTTTTTCTCATAATTGTTTCCTGATTTTTCCCTTTACTGTAAGCACTAGTTGAGGAGGCAGGAAACCAGGATTCTAGACCAGACTTGTCACTTTCTACACATCCGCCTCATCTCAGACATGGCCCTTTACTTTTCTAGCCCTTGGGTTCCCTGATCTCTCAAATGAAAGGATTTTCAAATAGATTCCGCAGGATATAGCAGAGATGCTTCAAGGGCCACTCTGGAAGATGAAGGGAAGCCTCCTGCCAACCTTTCCCCTTCAGACAGAGCGGCTTTGCTTTCATTTGTATCATAAATTGGGGCTGTTACAAGATTTTTTTTAACAAAAGGATTCTATTACTTTTTAAAAGTTTGAAAATCACTGAACTTAGATGCTCCTTAAGGGACTATCCAGCTCAGAAACAATTTTCACATCTGTGGAATGGGGATAACAGTAGTTCCTTTTCTTAGGTTTCTGAGGAGTAAATAAGATATTACATGAAGAACAGGGAACTGAACCAAGGAAACATTCAGTGTGTTAGCTGTTAGTCCCCACTGCGCCTGGCCCCCAATAGGTTCCACACAAATAAGACCACATTTCATAAGACTCCTACACTTTCGAGTGTGAAATTATGGCCTGAAAAATGGCCTAATCCATCTGCTTTATACCAAAAATACTATAAAAATGTTTTGGACATTTACTCTGTGAATTTTTAATACATTTTATTTATAATTTTTGTACCTTGCCCTTTTCTCTCATAACTGAAAGTGTTCTTCTTCTATATAAAATTTTAAAATTTATTATGGTAACACATTTATGAAAATTAATAACTCAGTATGTTCCAGACTTGCCAGCTCATGGGAAAGCGACATCAGCGTCCACTCCCTAACCCTGCCCTCTGCAACCTGCCTGGAGCTGCTGCTGATACTGTCGAGGAATAATGCCACGCTGCCTCCGTCCCTTCGCCGTATGAATTCCTTTCAGGTATGGAACAGCTGCTTTTCTAGGGTATGATCTCTCAGTTTTACTTTGAATTGTTTTTCATGGATCCTGTCTTTCACAGGAGATAACCCATGGAAACCCACAGCTTCAAATAATAATAATAAGCAGAATGCATGTATTGCCTTGTCTGTCTCTTTTTAAATAAATGAGCGTATGGATCAAAATTGATTAGGTAATTGTCTAGTCATGGCGGGACACATAGCTAACTCCAGGGTTTGTTCTTTCAACCCCCATCTTTCTTGCCTCTGAGAGAAATGGCAAGAAGATCTGACAAAGACACTTACGAATGCCACTTTCCTTCTCCCAGCTTTGCCCTAGAACTGGGATTAGTGGTTTTGCTACTCTTAGCTTGAAGTCAAATTGCCAAATGGCTGTTTAACAGGGATGGTGTCCTACCTACTCTCAGTACCATTGCTCTCTCTCTTCTTGGCCCTCCTTCATCACTTCCCCCACTGCCCTGGAGAGTTATTTGTGCTGCTGGTACAACTCAGTGCTGCAAATATAGACTGACCAGAAGGGTGACCCTTCTCCCTGGTAGTCAGCTGATTGTCAAATGAGGTGGCAAATGAAAATTAAGACATTAACTAGTGGTTTAAGTTGTGACTATATATCTACTGAAAGTAAATTGCACATATCTATGACTCTTGACAATGGAAAAATACTCGGCCCTTTGATGCTAGTGGGAAGACCACATACATTGCTGAGAAATGAATACACGTAGGTTAGTTCTACTTTTAAAGGGTTGCTGATGTATCCCTAAGAAAACTTCAGGAGCAGTGTGTATTGTTTGGTGCACCTTGGTTATGTGGTAAAACAAGATGTGTAGATTTTCCTGTGAATTATACCTCAAGAAAGTGGTAGAAAATAACTATGCCAATTGAATTTACATCCATATTCTCTTGGAAATCTGTTACATTGATTGTCTCGCTGATATTCTTCCTCTTCCTGACCCTCAGACATGGATAAAAAGTTCAGTCTTCGGCCTTAGCATGCCTGTGTGTGTGTGTTGGTCCTCGATCAACTTCCATCCTGCACTCTCAAATAGACCTTAGCGAACACCTTCTAATTTTGTAGGAGAGGAAACCAAGATAGCTGACTACCAGGGAAAAGGGTCACCCTTCTGGTCAGTCTATATTTGCAGCACTGAGTTGTACCAGCAGCACAAATAACTCCCTAGGGGAGTGGGGAAAGTGATGAAGGAGGGCCAAGAAGAGAGAGAGCAATGGTACTGAGAGTAGGTAGGACACCATCCCTGTTAAACAGCCATTTGGCAATTTAACTTCTTAAGAGATAGAGTGAGTTGGCCAGGGAATAGCTAGTGGGTTAGAGACTGAACTGGACTCACCAGGTCTGTGCCAGGGTTACTCCACCTGCCACCCAAAGGCAGTGCTCACTGAAGTCCCAGGGGGCAGAGGGATATGAGTGGTGGGTAGAGGCAGGTTGTATCTACCTTGGAATGTCCACACCCACCTGCCCCCTTATTTTGCAGTAATTTATAATTATTTATTTGTATATTTCCTTAAACCAGAAATGATTTAAAATTCTGTATATCAATCCATATTTCTTCTAAGTTTTGCTCATTGAATGGAATAACACAAAAGTTTATATGTGCCCACAAAGTTTTATGGAGGAAGATGCAAGAAACTTAACAGTGGTTATCTTTGGAGAGAAGAGGGTGGAAAACAATTATTTTTTATTTCTCTCTCTCCCTCATGTACTGTTTGAAATTTTTATACTATGGATAAATGGGAAGCAAGAGAAATGACTCTGACTTCGAGGATTTTACCATATATTGGGGGAAATAGGACAGTCATCCATGTGCGATATAAGTTGAGAATAGTTTTATTACAGAGTAGCCTTAACACAAGTCTTAAAGAGATTAAAGGTAAAAGAGTTAACTAAACTGATTATGGGGGAATTTGAGAGGAGGACCAATCCGTATTATCTGCCCATGAATTTGAGGAGATCATACCCCATTTAAGGATGTTGTCTCAGTCTTAAGTAAATACAGGTGTATGTGAAGCCTGGCCTGTTGTTGGTGACATTAATGTGCTCTTAGCATCTTCAATCACAGCAGCTTTTAGAACCATCTGGATGTTAATACTGAATGTCCTTCTCTATTGGTGATTGTACTTCATCTGGTTTCAGTCTGTTTACTGAATATTATTGTCAGGAGCATATACACTTTCCCAGTTTCAAAGGTACAGAGAAACTTGACAGACTATTATGAAAAATGTCTGCTAAAGTGTCGTCCCTGCTGTTACCCCTGGAAAGACGTATTCTTATCCAGAATGTACCAGGAGTCAGCTTCCCTATGCAGGTCTTCGCTCTAAGGTAAAGGATCAGCGAAAATGGGGAAGGTGCCTGTCGGGATTGGAAAGAGATGCTCTGCTTTTTCACCTTGTAACACCTACTTAATCATTTATTACAGTGGCAAGGAATGGATCCGCTGATTTTGCCTGTGTTTGGGATTTATTTTTTTAATTGGAATCTCACTTTCATGTACAATGTTTTTGTAATTTCACTTCAAAATATTAGGGGTGCAAGTGTTCTTGTTACATGGATGAATTGTATAATGCTGAAGAAGTCAGGGCTTTTAGGGCATGCACATTTTTTTTAAGAGCTACATTGGCAAGAGCTGTAAAATAGTAGAATGACACTTGTTAAAGATACCATCTTTACATTTCCAATTCTCTTACTTTCTAGGCCAAGTCACTGTGAGCAATGCTTCTTTTACTGTAAAACTGTCTTTTTAGGATTCAAGTGGTGCTCCTGCTTGAGCTGTTATCACTGCCAAATCCCGAAGGAAGGGTTTATCTTATTAATTAGAGCTATTAACATATGTGAAATTCTAAATTCTTAAATTACACTGTAACATTTCTCTCAGGCCAACGGGGATATCTTTTGGTAGTTATGTTATAATCTTAGCTTCTACTTTGTTAGAGTACCTAAATATCCCTAGTGTCATTATAAGCCAGCAGAATGTAGGATTTGGTTGAGAACCACTGGCACATACTATAGTTCTTATAGTGGCCCCAGGAAGAAAGATGAACTTATCATTCCTTTTCTTGTCACTCACTGCTTAAAATTCTCCTATGGCTTCCTATTGCAATAGGAATAAAATCCGAACTCCTTATCCTGGCCTGTAAGGGGAAGGAACATCTAGCCCTGCCTCCCTTTCTGACTCGTCTCCTCCTCTCTTTCTCTCACTTACTCTGCTCCAGGCACACTGGCCTTATTTCCCTGTCCTTATCACAGGCTGGTTCTGGCCATAGGGTCTGTGCACTGGCTGTTTCTCTGCTACTAGGAGAATACTCTGCACCAGGTCTTTGCATGGCTGGCTGCTTCTTGTCTTTCAGGTCTCAGCTCAGGTGTTCCCTCGCCCCAGAAGCCTACCCTGACCCCCCTCACCGAGCCTCCTTCTCCCTACCACCATTACACCTTGTTTTATTTTCTTCATAGCATTTTCCCCTATTTGATTTTGTTCATTTATTTGTTTATCTTTTTTCTCTACTAAAATGTGTGTTGAATGAGAACAGGGGAAATATCTGGCTTTGTTCAATGTGTGTCAGCAGAACTTAGAACAGCACCTGGATGTAGGAAGCAGTTAATAAATATTGGCTGACTAGCTGGGTGAATGAATGTAAGTACAAGTAAAATGCAGATTGACACCGCCATGTGACGTTTTAGAAACCTAAAAATCTGAGCTGCATGAGCAGTATTTACTTAGGGTGGAAGCAACAGCCCTTCCTCTGCTGTGACAGTGCTGGACTCAACAGGTAAGGTCTGGATTTGAGATTTGTCAGCAAGGTTGAGCACAGATGGCTGTCTGCATTGAAATTGCAACCTGGAGTTTTGTACAAATGAGAAGGACCTGAAGAAGAGTTCAGCCATTACAAAGAGTTAGCAAGATTCAGACAAGCAAAGTGATCAGTATGTAAGATAGGGCTCCCTGTGGGCACTGGGGACCATCGCAGGGGGAATGAGAATGATGTCCAAGCTTTGGTGCCAGAAACCAAGGCAGAGGGGGTTAGAGGTACAGAAGATCCTCGGGAGCAGGCAGGTTGCAGACTGCTGTGCCATTATTGCTGCTAGTTTATTCCACTCTGAGTGCTTCACAGCTGCGGTCTGGAGTGAAGTGGCACAGGCCATTTTCACATCCATCTTGCTGGGCAGCAACCAGCTCTTAACCTGCAGTGGCAGCTTTAAATTTGAGTAAGGTGTCTGGAAGTTAGAACCTTACGGGCAACCAGGTTGAAACCAGGACTGGGCAAGAAATGCTCCTTTTAATGGTAACTATGCATTTTCCCTAGAATCTTAGCCTATTAGAGCTAGAAGGACTAACTAAAGATCTAATCTTTATAGATACAGAAACATACCCAAGAAGGTTAAGTAGATATTAGAGACTGAAACTCTGATTTCTTTGTTGTGCTTTTTGTGCTACAGAGGATGTTGACTTCTCTTCAGGTAGAGAGGGGGTTTTTCTATACTTAGCATTCCTCTCTTCTGTGGGACACAGGTTCCCTAGGATGTAAATAGGTGTTATAAAAAATAATTGGATATTAATCATCAGCTAATAATGCAAATTATCATAGCCCATATTTTTTAATGCTTTCTGTATTCCAGGTGCTGTTCTCAATGATTTGCACTTATTAGCTCATTTCATGACAACACCACAAGGAAAGTATATTATTAGTCCTATTTCACAGGTGCAGAAACTGAGAGCAATGAACTTGCCCAGGCTCACATAACTAGTCAGTGGAGGAACATGAGGTACAAAGCCTGGCTCCAGAATCCCCATTCTTAACTACTAAATAATGTTACTTCTTTTAATATTAATAAGTTTGCTTAAACAAAATTAGTTTTTTTAAACTGCATGACTTTTCAGGACCTTTCATGCTTAAGGGACAGTGTGACCCTCGTAGTTGAGGAATATGGTACACATTATTTCCCAAATATACTTTATTTTACATCTGGGAGAC